CCAAACCATAACAGATAACAAGCTAAGTTTTAACTAACTGTGAAGCAGCCAAGTGGAAGTGTCTGGCAAGGAGCAACATGCCTGGGCTTGAGCCTTAGGAGACAGACCTTTGCTTATGGGTGGGGCTGCCCAAGCAGCACAAAGTGATGTAAAAGAGAAGAAGGATACCCATGCTAAGAGATGGAAGTAGTCAACATTTTCCAACTTCCATCTCTTCACCACTCATTTACCTTTTCATCTAATGCATCTGTTTTTGTCCATATTGCTCAATAAACGTACACTTAATAAAGTTGCCGTAGATATTCTTCAGTCCTTGTATTTCTCCTCTCCTTCTGAAGTATTACTTATTAAATAACTTCTCCTTCAAATGTCTCTCAATTTTTTTCTAATGCCACTTTTTTCCTGATTCACCTTCCACCTGACTCTTCTCTGCCTCTTTTGTGTCCAGCCTCCCTCCAATCTCCATTTCTGCAACCACTTCACCCCCAGTGTTGATTTTCTATACTTTGTCCTTAGTTCTCATTAGAAACCTTAGAGGTCAGAAGGCAGTTAAAGATATATTTAAAGTAATGAAAGAAAGAAAGAGGAAAAAAAGAAAAAAAACCCTGTGTACCAGAACCCTATAAAGCAAAACTATCCTTCAAGAATGAAGTAGAAATTGATATATTCCAAATAAACAAAAATTGAGAATTCTTCAGCACTAGATCTACCATATAAGATGCTAAAGAAAAGCCAGGCACTGGCTAGTCCATGAGATCTCATCTCCAAAACAACCAGAGCACAATGGACTGGCAGTGTTGCTCAAGCAGTAGAAAGCCTGCTTTATAAGCACGAAGCCCCAGCTCCTCCCACCCCCTCAAAAAAAGAAAAAGAAATGATAAAGGAAGTTTTTCACACTAAAATGAAAGGAAACTAAACACAGAGAAAAAAATCACAGGAGAAACTAGGGAATATTTGACATGATGCAATATAAAAATACATCATTCCAAGCAGTACTTAGTGGAAAATGTATAACTGTAGATTGAAAAAGGAGAAAGCTCTCAGATCAGTAGCCTAGGTGTCCACTATAAGAAACTAGAAAAATCAGTGAAAACTAAACCAAAGCAAGCAGAAGGAAGGAAATAATAAACATTAGAGAAGATATAGAAGAAACTGAAAAACAATGGAGAAAACTGACAAACCCAAACCTTGTCTTTTGGGAGACCAACAACACTGGTAAACCTTCGGCTAGATGGGCCAAAAACAAGGAGAGATAATGTGAATTACCAAAATCAGAAACGGAAGAGGAGAGCATTACTACAAAACATATAATTAAAGGAATTATAAATAAAAACTATGTTCAGTTTCCAGAAAACTAGATAAACTAGCTAAAATGAGAAAATTACTAGAAACACTATTGAAACTTACTGAAGAAATAGGAAACCTGAATAGACCTATACTAAATAATCAAGCACCTGACAAAATTTATATAGCTCAATACTAATTTTTACACAAACAAGTAGAGTTTGGATCAGTAATTTCATTTTTAATTTAGAACTGTATTTCCATATTTGTACCAGTGCACAGTAACTATACAATGTGGGGTATTTCATTATGATATTTTTATATTTACCTACAATATACTTTGATTACATTCACCCCCTCTATTACTCTGTCTCCCCTCCACCACCCCTTTTTTTTAACCTTTCTTGCAGTTTTGTGAATGGGTTTCATTGTGATCTTTTCATGCATATATACAATATACTTTGATCATATTCTCTCCCTCTTGCCCTCTTTCTCCCTCCTACCTCCCACTGGTTACCTCCCCAAGGTCCCCCATTTATATTCATGTCCATTTTTTTCTTTAGATCTAGCTTGCACATATAGAAAAAACATGAGGTATTTGTCTTTCTTTCTGAGTCTGGTTTATTTCATTTAACATGATGATCTCCAGTTCCATTCATTTTCCTGTATATGACATAATTCTTCTTTATGGCTGAAAAATACTCCATTGTTGTGTGTGTGTGTAGATACACACACACACACACACACACACACAACACACACACACATATATCACATTTTCTTTATTCATTTATCTGTTGGTGGACACATAGGCTGATTCCATCACTTAACTATTGTGAATAGTGCTGCAGTAAACATGAGTGCTGACTGGCATTCCTTTGGATATATATGCCCAAGAGTGGTATAGCAAGGTCATATGGTAATTCTATTTTTTTTTCAGGAAGCTCCATACTGATTTCCATATAGACTACTACTCTAATTTACATTCCCACCAACAGTGTATAGGTGTTCCATTTCCCCTGTATCCTCACCAGCATTTGTTGTTGTTTGTTTTCTTGATGGTTGCCCTTCTGACTGGGTTAAGATGAAATCACAATGTCATTTTGATTTTAATTTCTTTTATGGCTGAGAATATTGAACATTTCTTCATGTATTTATTGGCCATTTATATTTCTTTTGAGAACTGTTCAATTCAGTTGCCTCTTTATTGGGGTTTTTTTTCTTTCGGTGTTTAATTTCTTGAACTCTGGATATTAATCCTTTATCCAATGCATAGCTGGCAAAGATTTCCTCCTACTCTGTAGGCAGTTTCTTCATTCTGGTAATTGTTTCTTTTGATTGTAGAAGATGTT